CAGGGTTCAAATCCAGACTCAGCCACAGAAACCCACTGGGTGACCTTGGTCAAGTGACACTATCTCAGCCTCATTAGCTGGCAATGGCAAACCCCCTCTGAGGAAACTTCCCAAGAAAACCCTATGAAAGGGTCCCTTTAGGGTTGCCATAAGTCACAAAAAACTTGAAGACACACAACAACCCTGCCCCCTTCAATCTTACTCCATGCTAACAAAATCAGAGGCCAGAAACCTTACACAAAAAATATTCCTTGGATCCCATCAACAACAGAGAAGAAGATTTCAAGCAATACCATGATTAGGCCACTGTGACCAATGTCATATTTTGCTGGGTGTCAATGCTTTCACCAGAATCAGTGAGTCCTCTCTTTTTCCTTCAGTATTTCTCGTTTGTCATACCAAACATGGAGGGGGTGGGGGGTGGACAGAACTGTCTGTGAGACACTTCCTTCATTTACCCCATCAGGAGTAAGGTCTTCCTCTCACTTCATCCCTTAACACGTATAAAGCTGTAGATGCTGCTCCCCCAAACTCTACAGTAAATTGAACACCAATACTATAGATAATACTAATAATAATAATAATTTATTTCTTGCATCCTGCTTTTTGCCTGAGCAATCAAGACTGCTTACAAATATAAGATACAAATTAAAAACATACAACAATAACAGTAATACAATACCCGCCCCCCTTTAAAAGACTAAATACAATATTTTTCAGGCTAGGCCGGATGGAGTTGGCCTGCCTTCTCTCCCTCCAGATGATGGTGGATGGAGGGAGGGCCTTCTTTTCAGATGGGGGAGGGATTTCTATTTCTCACTGAAAAATGGGTTTAAAATGCCTCTTCCATTAACAAGCTCTTGTCCTAACCACCCCGCCTCCCTTGCTACTCTAACCCTGATGTCTCTTGCCCCCAAGTTGACTTTGACTCATGATGACCCTGTGGATGAGACATCTCCAAAAGACCCTCTGTCCTCAACCTCTCTGCTCAGGTCCCATAGACTCAGACCCATGTTCTCCCTGATCTGAGTCTAGCCATCTGGCATGTAGTCTTCTCTTTCTACTGCCTTCCACCTTTTCTATCATCCCTGTCTTTTCTGGTGATTTATTTTTCCTCAAGATGTGGCCTCAATTTAGCCATCTTGGCTTCCAGGAGGAGTTCAGCCTTGCTCTCTTCAATCATCATGCCAAAATATGACCTAAAGAACATCCCAATGGAATTTAAAGATAATATGAGAAATAGGCTAGAAATATTAAGCCTAGTTGACCAGGAACCAGAGGAACTATGGGCAGAAGTCAGGGACACAGTCAAAGAGGAATGCAAAAAGATTACATCTGTGGCCAAAAAGAAGTAGAAGAAACAATGGATGGCAAGCAAAACAGTTCAAGCAGTTAAAGCAGGGGTAGGCAACATTTCCCCTTTAAGGGCCAAGGGACTTCAGCTCCCAGAAGCCTCAGCCATGTTGGCCAATAGTCCCATGTTGGCCAATAGCTCCTGGGATTCTGGGAGCTGAAGTCCCTCGGCCCTTAAAGGGGAAAGGTTGCCTACCCCTA